AAAGCACAAGTGTGTCACAATTCATTGGCCAGAACTAATCCAGGGCCAGAAGTTGCAATGTTAGCATATCCCCAGAAGTCAGAAAGCTGGAAACATTTGGTGAGCAATATTAACGTAGACTATCGTAGAATGAGTAGCACTACTGGATCTAGCAGACTCTTTAGCCTATAATTACATCTTGAGAATTATGCTCCAATTTTTATAGCAGCAGAGTTCACAGTAGCCAAAAGGTGGCAATAACTCAAATGCCCATCAGTGCATGAATGGGTAAAGGAAATGTGGTATGTTCATATAGTGGAATATTATTCAGCCTTTAAAAAAATGAAATTCTGATATGTGCCACAATGTAGGTGATAAATCTTAAAGCCACTATGCTACCTGAAATAAGCCAGACACAGAATAATAAATAGTACATGATTCTACTTATATGAGTTACCTAGAACTGTCAAATTCATAGGGACAGAAAGTAGAATAGTGGTTTCCAGGGGCTGGATAAAGGGGAAAATAGGAAGGTAGTGTTTAATGGGTACAGAGCTTCATTTAGAAAGATTTTTAAAAGTTGTGGAGTGGCCTAGTGGTAACAATAGCACACAATAGTGATGTACTAAGTGCCACTGGATTGTATAATTACTGGTGGTTAAAATGGCAAAATTTACATTATGTCTATTTTGCCACAATTTAAATTTTTTAAATTGTGGTTGGACACAATACCTTTATTTTATTTATTCATTTTTATGTGGTGCTAAGGCTCCAACCCAGTGCCTTGCACATGATAAGCCGATGCTCTACCACTGAGCCACAACCCCAGGCCCACAATTTTTTTAAACGGGGGAAAAAAGCAAGCTGTTTGTAAGAAACACACTTATTTTTTTTAAGACTGTTGAAAGTAAAGGATCAAAAAGATCCTTCAAACACTAGAAATAAGAAAGTATGTATGGTTATATTAATATTAGACAATGTAGAATTAAAAACAAGAGCATTACTGAAGAAAACTATTTTTTTGTTTTGTTTTGTATTATTACTAAGGATAGAATCCAGAGTTGCTTAACCACTGAACAACATCCCCAACACTTTTTTTTTTTTTAAAGCAGGAAAGAACTTTTTTTTTTTTTTTTTAAAGAGAGAGTGAGAGAGGAGAGAGAGAGAGAATTTTTAACATTTATTTTTTAGTTCTCGGCGGACACAACATCTTTGTTGGTATGTGGTGCTGAGGATCGAACCCGGGCCCCACGCATGCCAGGGGAGCGTGCTACCGCTTGAGCCACATCCCCAGCCCCCACTTTTTATTTTTTATTTTGATACCTGGTCTTACTAAGTTGCTTAGGGTCTCGCTTTGAACTTGCAATCTTCCTACCACAGCCTCCCAAGTGGCTGGGATTACGGGCATATGCCACTGCACCAGGTAAAAGATAAAGTTTTAGTATGATTAAAAGATCAATTCATCCAAAAGACATAACAATCCTAAAGAGAGCTTCAAAAGACTTACAGCAAATAATACAGAACCAAAGGAAGCCATCTTTGTCTACAAAGTGCCTCTCCTCCCACCCACCCCTGCCTTCCCCCACCTCCTGCTGGGGTGCTTTTAGTGAAGACCCAGCAGAGAATCAGGATTTCACCCCTACCTGGTGGTAAGGGACCCACATATGGCATCAGTGGAGACCACAAAGAGATCCTAGACTTCTGTCCCATCCACTGATAATGATATGCCAGAGGAGGGTGTGTGGGAAACTGGAGTTTTCACTGTCATCCAGTGGTAACAAGTGCCTCCACCGCACCCCAAGTACAGGGCATAGAGGGAGCAATAACAAGGATCCTCCACACCCACCAAGGAGGTGACAATGGAGATTTTGTGGAGGAACCTGAAATCCCCCCTCTGCCCAGCAGTAATGAAGCACTCATCCCTCTGTCCAGCGTGTCAAAGGAGGTCAAATGGGGAACATGGACCTTCATTCCCACCTAATGAAGCCAGAATTAGGCAGTCAGTATAGATAGGTAAATCGAGTCAGGTCGGATCAAGGAGGCCAATTTTGAGTGAGTCTGGGAAGTTGGAGCCCGTCCCCTGAGGGATTGAAATGTTAATTCCTTCAGAGCCCTTCCTCCACCCTTACCAAGAACCTCCCCCTGCTCCAACCTGTGGCTAAGGTAACCTGTCCCAGGAATTGCCCTTCCCTATAGGAAGCTGTAAGGTTGTTAATTGATGTGTCCTAGGCTGCTCCATCCCGCTAGTCCCCCCCTTCAGCCCACCTGTTTCCACTTTTTGGCCATCCCACCGAGCATTTCCTAGACCTAGTCAAATGCCTAGCAGGAAGGAGAAAGATAAGGGAAGAGGGCAAGAGAACAAAGGAAGCCGAGTATGTATAAAAAGGGCAGAACTCTTCGCTTCTTGGGATACCAGGATACCAGCATATGGCCCCCTTCTCCCTCCTGGAGAAGTCTATGTTACCCCTTTTTAAATAAACCCTGTTAATAAGCTTGCCTTGGTGTGCTTCTCTAATGTTCAAACTTCAACATGTGGGGAAGCAGAACTCATCACCCATAACCGGTGGTATTACTACTAGTAAGAAACACTTCCTTCCCCCATGACACAATGTCAGAGAAGGCCTGCTAAAAAAAGAAAATTTAAATAACATCTGAAGTCTCATGACACAGTATCCAAAATTCCTAGGATATAATGCAAAATCACACATCATACCAATAATAAAGAAAATTTCAACTTGAGGGATTAAAAAAAAAATTAACCAACAGATGCCACATGGAGATGCCAGATTTTGGAATCTTTTAACAAGGATTTTAAAGCAGCCATCCTAAAAATGCTTCAAAGAGCAATTACAAACATGCTTGAAACAAATGAGGGAAACAAAAAAAAAGAATATCTCAACAAAGAAAAAGCAGATATACAGAACCACCAAATGGAAATTTTAGAACTGGAAAATTCAATAACCAAAATAAAAAAGCTCAATGATGAGCTCAATGGCAGACCTATATGGTTTCGTTTGTATATATGAGTTAAGGTTTAGTCAGAGACAAAGAACTCCTAGGATCTAGAATAATAAGAGCTGTGTTTTAGGGACTTTTCAACTTATGAAGCCAATATAGTACTGATACCCAAAACTAAAATATTGGAAATATATTTTAAGAAAAGTATAGGCTAATATTCCTCATGCAAACAGAAAAATTCTTAACACATCAGTGAATCAAATGCAGCAATTTATACTAAAGCTAATTCAAACATGACTGACCAAGTAAGGTTTACCCCAGGAAAGCAGTTTAATTTGTCATTATAGACATATTTGCAAAAGAATTTGCAAAAACACATCATATTTGTAAAAGAAAAACTATTATTGTCTCACTAGATGCAGAACATCTGACAAAATTCAATATCCACCTATGATTTAAAAATAGAAAACATTTAGCAAACAGATGAGAAGGAATTTCCTCAGTTTGATAAAGAATATCTACAGGGCTGGGGTTGTGGCTCAGAGGTAAAGTGCTCGCCTATCACGCGGGAGGCCCTAGGTTAGATCCTCAGCACCACATATAAATAAATAAAATAAAGGTATTGTATTCAACTACAACTAAAAAATAAATATTAAAAAAAGAATATCTACAAAAACCTTACAGCTAACATCATATTTAATGATGTAACATTAAACCCTACTCCCCTAAGATCAGGAACAAAGCAAGGGTGTCTATTCTCTATTCTCACCAAGTCTATTCAACATCGTAGGACTAGCCAATAAAACAACACAAGAAGGTCTGGGGATGTAGCTTGGTGGCAGAGTGGTGGTTCCCTGACATCCGAGACCATGGGTTTGACCCCCAACACCACACACACACACACACACACACATATACACACACACACACACACTATTTAAGAAAAAGAAGCAAACAGCATAAATATCAGGAACAAAGCCAAACCATCATTATTCACAGATCACATTACTGTATATGTAGAAAGCCTGACAGCATCTTTTTTGAGCCTCATTGAATCTTAAAAGTATATATACTAGAAGTGATAAGTTAGCATTGCAGGATGCAAATATGACATTAAAAAATCAATTGTTTTTTTTCTACATGTTAGCAATTATCAATTATAAAAGTAAAAGTTAATAGCATTTAATATTAGTATAAAAAGTCAATGCCTAAGAAAAAAATCTAATGAAAGATGTGTAAGATCTTTCTACTGGAAATTATAAAACGTTGTTGTTGTTGTTTTCCCTTACTGGGATTGACCTGAGTTATATTCCAAGTCTTTTATTTTGAGACAAGGTCTTCCTAAGTAGCTGAGGCTGGCCTTGACATTTCAATCTTTCTGCCTCAGTCTTCTGAGTAGCTGGCATTACAGGCATGTGCCACCATACCCAATCCTGAAATAAATTTTTTAAAAATTTATTTTTAATTTTTTAGTTGTTGAGACTTTTTTTTTCAAACTGTGATGCTGAGAATCAAGCCCAGTACCTCACACAAGCTAGGCCAGCACTCTACCACTGAGCTACAACCCCAGCCCCTGAAAGAAATTTTAAAAGACCTAAATAAATGGAGATAAATGCTGTGTTCATGAATTGGAAGACTTAAATAATGTTATGACGGCACTCCATCTGCATTGATAGATTCAACACTATCCCTATCAAAATTTCAATAGACTTTTGAAAATAGATATATAAACTAAATTTAACAGTAACATGAAAATACAAAAATCCAAAATACCCAAAAGTTCAAGGTTAGCCTGGGAAACTTAGCAAGACCCCATCTCTAAATTAAAAAAAAAAAATTTTTTTTAAGAGCTTAAACTATAGCTCAGTGATACAGTACCAATGGGTTCAATATCTAGTACGGAAAAAAAAAAAAAAAGGTATTTGGGGCTGGGGATGTAGCTCAGCGGTAGAATGCTCGCCCAGCACGTGAGAGGCCCTGGGTTCAACCCTAGCACCACATAAAAATAAATAAATAAAATAAAGGTATAAAAAGGTGTTCATCTCAACAACCAACAGACATGATAAGGAAGAGATGGATAGTTTATTTCACATCATCCAAGCTACAAGCAAGGCAGGGACAAGGAAAAGGAGTACAGAGCTGGCCCCAAATCTTTCTTTTTCTCATTTCTTACAAAATTGAGGGCCAACCTATTCAAGATTTTGGGGAATGGTCATTAGAAGGATTTACGTGAATGGATAACTTGGCAGATGTATAATTCTTTTGCTCACGATCCAGGAACTTCCGTTGATTGGTTTCTGATATAGTCTGATCATTCAGAGTGTCTTTCACTGAGCCGCCACTAATACTGCAGGACCCGGTGTGAGAGGGATGGTTCACAATCACACTCCAGAAAGTTCTGTAGTTCAAATAGCAAAGGATTCCTGGGGAAAGGAAATTGGAGAGTGGGAAGAAGAGTGACAAGAAGTGAGATTTCCTAAGAACCTGTCCCTGGGGATTGCCTGCCCTTCCCTCCACACTTGCTCTGCCCTGACCCACCCACATCCTCTCCTTCCCCAAGTGCTCTCCTGGCCACTCACCACAACTGACATATAGGATAAATACCAGCCAACCAATGAAATAGCTCCAACCAAGGGGAACAGACAGATTCTTCTTCACCTCGAAGATCCAGAGGTTAATAGGGTACAACAGGAGGACAGAGAAAATGAGGGTGACTGTGAGGCAGGAAATAGAGAGGTTTTATTCATCTGAGAATCCCAGAGGAGAACTACAGTCACAAACTACAACTCCCATGACAACACAGCCCACAGCACCTCACCCCCACCACCGCCCACCCTCCCCATCCCCACCCCCACCAGGCTCACAGGAATCAACCCTTCCAATTCCATCTCTCCAGAGACTGGGAAATGATGTAGCTTAACTCTCAGTTCTCTTTTCCCATCATCCCCAAACTCCCATACCATCCCCAAAGAAGGGAGAAGTGCCCTCAGGAAGACATGGGTTAGGAGAACTAAGGACCTTTTTCAGAGCTGGGGGGCACCTTCACAGAAGCTCATGATGGTTCCAATCAAGCCAAAGGCAGGCACTTTCTGAAGACCGGGCAAGTACGGCAAGTGCAACCAGATGGTGAGCAGGAAGCCTATCCCCAGCGCCAAGCTGAAGATTACCTTGGCTACCCCAAAGAGTGGGTGATTCGTCCATATCTTAAAAGTGTCTGAGGAAAATGACAACACAGGATGAGCTCAGGATTCACTAAAGATAAAATATAATCAAATGAACAAACAGGAGAAAATGTTCAGTCCCATTTATAAACCAAAGAAATGCACATTAGTGAAAATAGTAGAACAACGCTTACACTTTTTAAGTAGGCCAAGATTTCCGTCCCACCTTACTAGGGATTGAACTCAGGACATGGGGCATGCTAGGAAAATGCTCTAGCACTGGTCTACATCCTGAGCCCACAAGCCAAGTTTCTTGATATGATATTGCTTGATAAATCCATGTGAAAATGAATACCTCGACAGAAAAAAAAATGGACAGATTTGAACTGTAATTCTCAAAAGAAGAAATGCAAACGTCAATAAATTTGAAATATAAAGCTCAACATAAATTGATAAACCTGATTTTTAAAAACTACTGAATTAGCAAACATCAGAATAAAGTTGAGGGCTGGGGTTGTGGCTCAGTAGTAGAGCGCTTGCCTAACATGTATAATCCCAGTGACTCTAGAGGTTGAAGTAGGAGATTTATAGGCCAGCCTCAGCAACTTTGTAAGATCCTAAGCAACCTACTAAAACCCTGTCTCAAAATTTAAAAATTAAAAAAAAAAAAAAGTTCTGGGGATGTAGCTCAATGGTAAAGCACCTCTGGGTTCAATCTCCAGCGCGCGCACACACACACACACACACACACACACACATACATAATTTTTTAAATTAATAAATAAATAAAATTGATAATACCTACTATAGAAGAGTACATGGAGAATAGAGGCACTCTCCCATACTGCTGGTAGGTAGCATTTCTGTTGAGTTGTCTGACACAGAATATAAAAACAATTCTGAATTGTTAAGGCCCCTTGACCCAGCCACACTTCTTCTGGGAATTTATGTTAAGGACTTATCACCCAAATCTCACTATAGAGATCTTCTTTGCAGAGCTATTGATATGTCCGACAAGCTTCTGGATTTTCAAGAGATTTGTATAATAAATGACAGTGTTCCCATACATTGAATGATTATTTTTCATTAAAAATGGTGACATGGTGGGGGACTGGGATTGTGGCTCAGCGGTAGAGCGCTCAACTAGCACAGGCAGGACCCGGGTTCCATCCTCAGCATCCTCAGCTGGGGGTGTGGCTCAGCAGTAGCATACTTACCTCGTATGTAGGAGGCCCTGGAGTCCATCCCTATCACCAAAAAATAAAAAATAAAATATAATAAAATATAAAAATATAAAAATAACACAACAGAAGTTTGTCTCTGAATAGAAACTTCTCTAGGGAAAAATGTGAGAAAATGGGGAGGGAGACTGACTGCCAGAGGTAGGTGGCACACTTGGCTGAATAATCTTCTCTTTTGAAAGGTTACTTTGTTCATTTATTACCTAATCAAATAAATTTTGAAATTAATGGTTATAAAATAATTGTTCAATGATATGAGTAAGTGCTTACAACCAAAGTGTAGTTTCCAAAACAAAATCTGTTGAATTTAGATTGTAATTTAGGAAATCCATTACAATGTCCACTGTGATTATATCTATGTGAGGAAACCTTAGGTGATTTTTATTTTCTTTCTTAAGTTTTTCTGCATTTCCCACAATAAATGCCACTGTTTTCAATAAGAAAAATATTATATTTTTATACATTTCAGTTTAGCCTTGGCTGGCAAACATACAATGAATTAAGCACTCTCACATGTTGTTAGTAGAAGCATACAGATTGAACATTCCTAATTTGAATCCAACGTGCTCCAAAATCTGAAACTGTTTTGAGTGCTGACAGGACAACACAAGTGGAAAATTCTATGCTGACCTCATATAATGGGTCACAGTCAAAATGCAAGTGTACACTAAAAGTATTATATAAAATGACCTTTATGCCATGTGTATTAAGTGTACATGAAATGTAAATGAATTTGATATTTAGACTCAGATCCCTTCCTAATAAATCTCATTATGGTTTGGTGTGGTAGTGCACACCTGTAATCCCAGCAGCTCAGGAGGCTGAGACAGGAGGATCCTGAGTTCAAAGCCAGATTCAGCAATTTATTGAGACCCAAGCAACTCAGGGAGACTCTGTGTCTAAATAAAAATATAAAAAAAGGGATGGGGATGTGGCTCCGTGGTTAAGCACCCCTGGGTTCAATACCCAGAACAAAAAAAGGAAAAGAAAAACTCATTACATATCTACATATTCCAAATCCTAAAAAAATTAAAAATTGGAAACACTTCTGGTCCTAAGTATTTCAGATTAGGGATGCTCAGCATGTAATACTTTTTGAAGAGTGTGGGGAGTTACTAAGGCTTGAACCCAGGGGCCCTTCACCACTGAGTCACAACCCCAGAGACTGGGTGTCACTGAGTTACTTAGGGCCTTGCTAAATTGCCAAGGCTAGCCTTGAACTTGTGATTCCTCCTGCCTCAGTCTCTAGAACCTCTGGGATTACAAATGTGTGCCACTGCAACTGGCTCAATCTATAATACTTTTTGAAAGCAATATGGGTTTTTTTTCTTAAAAAGTCATAAGATATTAGTACTCTTTGATCCTGTAAACCATCGGGGGAAATTTATCTCAAAGAATTAATTCTCAATATTGGGGGAAAAAAAACTTCACAATTAACAAACATTGTTGCTCCTTTTCCCCACTTTTTAAAAAATTTCTTCTCTCTCTCTCTCTCTCTCTCTCTCTCTCTTTCTCTCTCTCTCTCTCTCCCTCTCTCTCTTTCTGTGCTGGGGATTGAACCCAGGGATTGGTACATAATAAAAAAGTACTATACCACTGAGCTATCCCCCAGCCTGCTCCTGTTTTTTTAAATATGAAATTGGAAAAAAAAAGAGACATGATATACAAATTAAAAAAAAAAAAGAAACTGGAAATGAACTTTCTAATAATAGGAAGATAAAATAACCAAGTGAATGAGGATAAATTGGTTAAATATTATCATCACTTCTAGTAAGGACAACTATTATGTATTAGGAAGACAAAATGTTAAATAATATAAAATTATTAATGAACCATATGTACAACTATGTAAAATCCATTGAAAATTTTTCAATTAACATGATATGTCAAGAGCTTTGTAATGTTTTGAACAACCAATAAAAAAAAAAAAAGAAAAAAATTTTTTTCAATTAAAAAAAAAAAGAAAAAGCCTGGTCATCTTTGAGTAGTACCACAGAGCGAGATGTTTCCATGAGCTTTAAAACCAGACACATTTGAGTTATAATTCTATACATGCCTTTATCAAGTTAGTTCATCCATACGAAATTGCTTTTTGTAAGTGAGAAGCAGTCAAATATTGCTATTTCATATGGTTCAACCTAATAACTGTGTGAACCTGAACAAGATAGTTAATCCAAGACCCAATTTTCTCTTATGTAAAATAAGGATAATTATCCCTATCTTTTACAATTGGCTGAGGATTTAATTGAACAAACGGAATAGAAGTGAATATGATAATTTTTGTTTCCCCAAATGTATTGTTATAAAGATGTTTTAGTTTCACAATAGAAGAAAATAATAGCCATATACTTTTTTTTTTTTTAAGGAAAATAAATAAATGGAAGTAGGCATCCAAAGCTCTGGTCATTCCCAAGCTGAGAAAGGAAGCTCAGTTCCTAAGAGTGAGGGGAGGGAATAAGACTTGAAAGAGAAAGGGATGAGGCCGGGCATGGTGACAAACCCCTGTACTACCAGCTACCTGGAGGCCCAAGCAGGAGGAAAGCAAGTTTGAGGCCAGCCTTAGCAACATAGCAAGGCCCTAAGCAATTTAATGAGATCCTGTCTCAAAATAAGAAGACAAAAAAATAATAATAATAAATAACCCAATCAATAAATGGGCCAAGGACCTGTACAGACACTTCTCAGAAGACGATATTCAATAAATCAACAAATATATGAAAAAATCTTCATTATCCCTAGAATTAGAGAGGTATAAATCAAAACTATTCTAAGATTTCATCTAACTTCAATCAGAATGCCAGATATTATGAGGATTAAACAACAATAAGTGTTGGTGAGGATGTGGGGGGAAGGGTACACTCATACACTGCTAATGGGGCTGCAAATTGGTGCAGCCAATATAGAAAGCAGTATGGAGATTTGTTGGAAAACTGGGAATGGAACCACCATTTGACCCAGCTATCCCAGTCCTCGGTTTATACCCAAAGGACTTAAAAACAGCATACTACAGGGACACAGCCACATCAATGTTTATAGCAGCACAATTCAGAATAGCTAAACTGTGGAACCAACCTAGATGCCCTTCAATAGATAAATGGATAAAAAAAAATTGTGGCATATATACACAATGGAATTACTCAGCAATAAAAGAGAATAAAATCATGGCATCTGCAGATAAATGAATGGAGTTAGAGAAGATAATGCTAAGTGAAGTTAGCCAGTCCCCAAAAACCAAATGCCGAATGTTTTCTCTGATATAAGGAAGCTGATTCATAGTGGTGTAGGGAGAGGGAGCATGGGAGGAATTGACGAACTCTAGATAGGGCAGAGGAGTGGGAGGGAAATGGAGGGGGTATGGGATTAGAAATAGGTGGAATGTGGTGGACGTTATCATCCAAAGTACATATATGAAGACATGAATTGGGGCAAATATACTTTGTATACAACCAGAGATATGAAAAATTGTGCTATATATATGGAGATATAGCTCAGTTGGTAGAGTGCTTGCCTCATATGCACAAGGCCCTGGGTTCAATCCCCAGTACCATAAATAAATAAATAATAAAATTTTAAAAGTAAGGAATGAAGTAGGTAGAAGAATTCAGTGAAGAAAAGAACAAGGAAGTCATCCACAGAAAAAGGAAAGTTCTTGAGACCCCAAGTGGGCCCAGAGAAACAAGGCCTGAGGCAGAAGAAAAGTACCTGGGACCAGGGAGTGGGAGAGAACATTCCAGGGAGTCCTCTAAAAGCTCTGATTATGCCAGTTTAGAAGAAGGAGACCCCCGCCTCCAAGCCCTCCTTGGTGGATTCCATGATTCATGAGTGATTTATAAGGGTTGAGTACCACACTCTCATAATATTTATATAAGCACAGACCTGGCTCTGGATCTTATCTAAAGCAGTGCCATTTTCCCTGGGGTCAAGCCAATTGATTTCTCCAGGGTGGAGTGGGAAAATAATCGTTGGAGGTTTCAATGACAGAGGAGCCCTCTTGCAGGTCAAAGAATGAAAATGACTTGGAGAAAGGGGACAAGAATAGCCAGGAACAACCACAGAGGTCAAGGCCGGCTGCTGGGGGCCAGGAGGCGAGGCGGAACTCACCTTTCTCATTTTCTACTTGGGAACAGCTCCTATCTGGGCAGGTATACAGCAGCCCCAGGGACATGACGTGGACTGAGGTATGGATGATGTTGTTTATATCCTTGGGATAGCGCTTATAGAAGCGGCTCCCGGAGGGGTGTAACCATTTCTTGGAGAAGACCATGATCAGCATGAAGATGAAGGCCACTAGGCTGAGCTCTGAGGCTGCCACCTGCGCCATCCAGCGGGAGCTATGTGTCATTCTCCATTGCAAGGGCAATGCGGAGTTCCGGCGATGATCCGAGGGCGATTGCTTTTTACTATCGGGAGAAGGGACAGAGGTCTGAATCCTCTCTTGTTGCCCCAGGTTCACCTCAACTCTGCTCCCCAGCCTTCCCCCTTCTTTTCCAGGCCTCAGATGTTGGTCTCCTTCTCCTTCTGACCCCTAGAGGACTCTGACCCCCTTCTTTTGCACCCCTTTTCTCCTCTATCCCATCTCCTCCTTCCCTTGCTTGGCTTACTTGTCCATCATCTTCTGAATATTTCCATCAGGCAGTCAGTTGCCAACATAGGGCCTGGGGTCTGGGAAAGAATGGGTGGGGGGCCTCTTATTAGGAATTTGAGCTCCAGATCCAAGAAAAGTCCCCCAAACCATTCAGCAGACCAGGGTCCCTAACTGCCATGGAATATTCCTGGGGAAGCAGTGAGATGGGGGAGGGGACCATGGCTTCCACTCTAACCCTTTCTCAATACTCTTGTTCCTTAGGCGCCAGCCCAGAACCATGGATCGGAGACCTTCCTCAGCTTCTCTCTTCACTAAGGCAATGGTCTCTGAGGATCTCCTTTTTTCTTCCTATTTCCTCTGCCCTAACCCCAATCCCAAATCCTCACTGATAGAGCAAGGGAAGGAGAAGAAAGGGGTCCTCTGGAAAAACAACCTCCCTCCATTGTCCTTTGGATGAATCTTTCAAGTGTCACCAGCCTTCCAACAACTTTCCCCAAACCCTTTCCTTCTTCCCATCTTTACTCACTTCTGGTCAACAGTCACCAACCCCTTACCTCTTCCCTTTGTCTCTCTTCTTTTTTTCTCAGAGCCAGAATAAGGAAAATATACGATGAAGAGGAGCCTAGGGGTATAGATAGACTGAGAAGACTCTTCCAACCTCCTTTTTTTTTTTTTTAACTTATTTTTTAGGTGTAAATGGAGACAACACAATGCCTTTATTTTGATGTGGTGCTGAGGATTGAACCCGGGTCCCGCCCGTGCTAAGTGAGCACTCTACCACTGAGCCACAATCCCAGCCCTCCAACCTCCCTTTTAAATTATTTTTTAAAAATATTTTTAGTTGTTGATGGACCTTTATTAATTAATTAATTTTATGTGGTGCTGGGAATCGAACCCAGTGCCTCACACATACTAGGCAAGTGCTCTACTACTGAGCCACAGCCACAGCCCCTCCCTTTTAAATTATAAGAAAATAAATGAGGTACCCGTGACAATCTGATCATAGTGGCTTCCAGATCTCAGTTAGCCCCTGGAACTCTTGTGAGCTTTCGGATTTAGGAAATGAGTTTGAACCCCGCCAGAGCTGGTTTCCTTCCTGGAGACAATGATATACATGGTTAACAACACAGGTTTTGGGGTCTGATAGCAGAGGCACAAAGAATGGAGCTTCCCCTAAATAGCTTTGTGAACCTGGATGTCATATAAGCCTTTTTAATGCCTAAATTCACTCATCTATTAGAAAAGAACAATACCACTTGTCTCATACATAGACTTGGCTTGAGTATGGAATGAGACAATAAACAAAAGCACACACTAGTCCATAGTAAATTCCCAGTAAGTGCAGTTCTTACTGTTAAATTATCATTTTTAGCCAGGCATGGTAGCACACACCTGTATTCCCAGTGACTTGGGTAGCTTTGACCAGGAGGATTACAAATTCAAGGCCATCGTGTGTGTGTGTGTGTGATTTTTAGTGTACAGACTTCTCAGTCCCGAACCCAAAAACACAAACAGGGAAGGAGCAAAAGCATAATCTGGGCACAGTGGCACATGCCTATAATCCCAGCAGCTTGTGAGGCTGAAGCAGGAGAATCACAAGTTCAAAGCCAGCCACAGCAATTTAGCAAGGCTCCAAACAACTCAGTGAGACCCTGTCTGTAAATAAAATATTAAACAAGGCTGGGGATGTGGCTCAGTGCTTAATCACTCCTGGAACCAATCCCTGGTACCAAAGGAAAAAAAAATCATAAAGGATAATTCCTGGCAGGCATTAGTGCATACTAGTGGCTGCAAAGTGGAATTCAAGTTAATTTATTCAGGAGAGTTAACTCTGAATCCCAAAGTCACATGCATATTAGGACCTCAGAAACTGGGAATCTTAGATTCAGATCCTGGTCTCTTCCCCTCCCTGAGCATCTTGCTCCTCTGCCAACCAGCCTGCTTCTCTGCTCTGGTGCACACAATGGGAAATGAGGCCCTCAAGTCAAGGGCTGTGCATCTGACACATTTGACTGCCAGAGTACAGACTTCTCAGTCCCAAATCCATATATTCTCTATCCCTGCCAGGGACGAATGGCATCCTTAGAATAATCAGCCTTGTGCCAGACACAGTGGTGCACAATGTACTCCCAATGGCTCAGGAGGCCAAGGCAGGAGGAACACAACTTCAAAGCTACCTACTCAGCAACTTAGTGAGGCCCTAAGCAATTTAGTGAGACTCTGTCTCTAAATAAAATATTTTAAAGGGCTGGGGATGTGGCTCAGTGGTTAAGTGCTCCTAGATTCAATCCCTAATACAAAAAGAATTAAAGAACATTCTGCATTGGTCAGGGGCACTGTGTCAGGAGGCTGAATCCTGAAGAAGGGAGGAGTTGGAGACAATGCTGGAAGAGCGGGTGCTAGACCCTTTGGGAAAGTCATTCACACAGAACCAGAGATCATCAAGATTATTTTCTTTCTTGAATTCTTATTAGTTTTTTTTTCTGGAGTTTCTAAACATTTTTAGTAAAAACAACCAGTTTTCACAACAACACACAACATGAAAGAATCTTAGAAATATAATATTTTCTAAAGAATGTCACTCCTGGAAAATTACACTATAATAAATGGAATACTTTTTCTATAGAGCTCATATACAAGTACAACTAAACAAAACATAGTTTAAGCATACATACATTTACAATTGCATGATATTTTTAAAAAAGCAATGGGCAGATTGGTGTACAACTGTAATCCCAGAAACTCAGGAAGCTGAGTTGATCTCCAGTTCAAGGCCAGCCTCAGCAATTTAGTGATACCCTATCTTAAAAAACAAAAATAAAAACAGCTGGGGATGTAACTCAGTGGGAGAGCACCCCCAGGCTCCATCCTTCATAGAAAACAAATAATAACATAACAATGGAGTAGTAAATATGAAATATCATATGATGGTGAATTCTCATGGGAAGCAAAAAGTAGAACAAGGAATGTTACTCTAGCAAATGCATATTACTAATAATAGTCCAGTTCCTGGGTTCGGTGATAGGTGCACAAGGATTCATTATAATTTTTAGGTAATATTGATGTCATGTAAGGAAATATTAGGTACTATTTTAGGAAATATTTTTGGTAATATTGATTTCATTTCTGGAAGGAGCATTGAAAGTTCTTTACCCCTTTTCTAAAAGTTCGCTAAGTAGCCTTGGCAACTTAGCCAGACACTGACTCAAAATAAAAAATAAAATGGACTGGTGGTGTAGTTCAGTGGTAGAGCACCACTGGATTCAATCCCTAGTACCACCACCCAAAAAAATAATAATAATTAAAAATAGTTCAAGATAGGAAATGTAATCTTAGCGATTACTAACTTGGCAATGGAAGTTATTTATATTGTCACAATATGTAATGTAAACACTCTTAGCTTAGTTTTGACTCTTCAAGTCATCAGATGGACAAAGCACGGAAAACTTAATTATAGCTTTAAAAGTAAACACAGCAGCTTTGACATTGCCTAACCGAAAGCCTAGAAGAGGTAAACTGGAAGGAGGAAGGAGGAGAGTTGAGAAGTAGGGGCACAGCCCTCAACAGATGGTAGTGAGAGATTGGTGAATAAATTCCCAAACTTCCTTGCCCCTAGATGCCCCTAGATTAGGATAACTGATGCACATCCTATAGCAGGAACAGGCAAACATTTTCTGCAAAGGTCCAGATAATACATAATAGGCTTTGTAAGTCATATAATCTCTATTATAAATACTTATCTTGGCTAATATATTGTGAAAGCTGTCACAGACCATATGTGCCTAGGTAGGAATGCTTGTTCCAATATATAACACTTTGCTTTATGGCCCTAGCCATAATTTACCCAATCCTTCTGTCTCCCAGAGTTCCCAGCAGGATTAAGCTCCAATTGCCCTGGTAATAATTGATTTGATATCCTCTATTGCCTTTCTTCCTTTCCTTGTTCCACTTCCTTATCCTTTTTCTAAATGTGTTAGGGGGTTAGCTCCCAGTAACTTCTTGCAATCAAATCTTTATCTTGGGGTTGGCTTCTGGGGGGACCCAAATGAAGTCAAGTAAGAACTAAGATGACCACTGTTTTTTTGGAAGAGAAAACAAAGAAGTTGAGCAATTTGCTCAAGGTCACAGAGCTAGTAAGTTTGGGGGCCAGCACTGGAATCTGGACAGTCTCACTCAAGAGCTGTGCATATATTCCAAGCATCCTAGAATATTAGCAGAGTGGGAAAGGGACTAAACATTTTTAGAAAAAACAAAAATGTTTTTACTAAAAGGAATTCAGAGAAATGAGGATACTCACCCAAGAAAGAAAGGAATTCCCAGAGTAGTGGGGAGGACCAAGAGACACAAGGACTTGCTCCTGGCAGCATTGTTAGGGAGGCTGTAAGTACCCAGGAAAGAATGATTATGGTGTATCTGGGAAGATTTGGGAACTTGGGAAGTTTCCCAAAATATCCCCATGGTCTGAATATAACAAGGAAGCAGCACAGGGCCACCAGACCCAAAGTTAACCATAGACAGAATCAATAGTAGCATAATCTGAGAGAACAGTTGATCAGGACCCTGGGAGACATACGGAGAGGTGCCCAAGCTCTAATAAGTGGGGGTGGGGAGGAGTATGTTTTGTCTTCCACTGTTATCATGGTGGAATGAGATGGTTCTAACTCAAAACTCAAGTTTGGTATAAGATATGAGAATTGTGTCATGTTTTGCACATCTAAATTTGTGGTTTGAAATTAAATCTTCGGCAAATTACACAGAAATTTCTCATAGAGAGCATGAAGGGAGATGTAGCCAACCCCAAACAAGGAATTTCTGTCCATTTTTATTTATTTATTTCTTTTTTTCCCTGATCTTGCTATGTTGCCAGACCTGGGCTCAAGTGATCTTCCTGCTTCAGAGTCCTGAATAGCTGAGATGACAGGTTCATGCCACTAGGCTTAGCTTCCTTTCTTACATACAACATCTTTGTGTCTGTTTAATTTTTCCATTACTCCTAAATTTTCACTTTTGTTCTGTTCCAAGAGCCCAAACTACAACCAAGTATTTCTTAGTTCCAATCCCAAATTCTCAGGGAAGGACACTGATTGGCTCTGCTTGGAGCAGTTATACATTCCTTGACCAATCAGCCATGGGCAGGGGTTGTTAACCTGCAGTACCAATATTCACCAGTAAAAGGAGCTAG